TTTTTTTCAAGAAATCGTCAAATGAATTCCGAGATATAGAAACTTACCATCTGCGATATCATAACAATAGTTCAATTAAAACAATTTCTTCACAAAATTTTTTAAAAAAAGTTTAAATTAAGAAATACTTACCGCCTAAGGGTCAACAAATGACATGCTCAAAATACAGTACATTCAATAAGGGCTTGCAAAATTGATTTAAAATATTGAAAGTTTACCCTCTAAAAATTGATAATTTAGTCGGAATTTTTCGAAAGGATTACTTTTATAATGCAAACTTTATAGAAACTTACCGACTATAAGAAAACAGTCAAGATAAAGTTAAATTCAACTTATTGTGTAAATTTATGGGGGGAAATCAAGAAATGTGCTCATGAGAACCTACCAACTAAAATCAACGATAAATATGTTTAAAACGTAAGAATATGCGAAATAAATTTAGAGAATTTATTTAAAAAAACTTACACTCTAAAAAGGTCGATAATCAATAAATGATTAAGTAATCTTCGTTTGAATTATCCAAAGAAATCAGATAATATTTTTGGAAAACTTACTGTCTGTATACATCGATAGTCGGTGTTGATGTTAAGACAGTCATATATTTTACGAAGTCAATTTAAGTTATTCAATAATTACTTACCAACTATAAAATCAAAAGGCGTATTACGTATAGATAAACCGATTTTTGCAAGAATACCAAATTAATTAACATGATGCTTGAAAACTTACTGGCTACATGATGCAATCAATAATATTGTTCATGAGAATTTGTAGACCCGATCAAGAAGTATTCTTTGAAATCTTACCATCTGCAATGATAAAATGACACATATTTAATCATTTAGGAAGGTAATTTACAAGAATTCATGTAAAACTTACCCTCTGTGCCGAGATATTTGTTGCACACAGTAGTTAGCACCGTTAGCTGAACATAACTTAGTAATAAATTTAAAAATCTTCTCGCTAGAACTTACTCACTATCAATTCAATTAATTGACGATATGGTTATTCACTTTTTGTGAGGAATTACAAATATCAATTTTAAGCATGCTTACAGTCTGCAATTTAACGAATAAATAAATTAATTGAAGCATTTTTTCAAAATTAAATGGTCAATAATTTAAAAAATATACATTTGATTACTTACCAGCTATAAATCGCAATGATAAATATGGTCAAGGAACTTTGAAAATTAGCGAAACAGGGTTTAAAATGTGATTTCCTTACAGTCTGCAAATCAACAATCGAAAATATGGTTAAGAACTTTTGAAACCGAATTTAAAAATACGATGTGAACTTACCGCCTATAAAATAAAATTAACAATAAAGTTAAAGACTTTGTAAGAGGATCTTAAATAAATTTATAAATAAACTTTATTACTCACGTCCTACAATATCAGAAAATAATATTGTTAAAGCAGTATATTAAAATTAGAGAACAATTTTAAGAACAGGCATGTGATATCTTACCGGTTCCTATAAGTTCGGAAAAGATAATATGGCCAAAAAATCGCTTTTATGTACTTTACGAAGATAATCTTGCTCATGGGTATGAAACTTACTAACTGTAAATTGATAATTGGTAATATAATTAAGAACTTTTTTACAAAGTTTGAAAAGCGAATTTTGTGTAAGCCCATGAAAACTTACGCACTATAAGCCGTCGACAATTAACAATGTGAATAAAGTATTTCTCGAAAATTATAAAGCAAAAATTATAAAATATGCATGTAAAAACTTACAGGCTATAAGTCAATAATCGATAATGTAGTTAGAACAGTTTTGTAACACTTGCAAATCAAACTTATTATTGCGCCTTTGAAAACCTACCCACTGCAAATCGACAACAATTAATGAGATAAAGATTAATGAAATAAAATTTAGAAACGCCATATTCATAAAAATTACCGGCTATAAATTGAAAATAGATGAGATGATTAGAATAATTTTCGTAAACATTTTAAAAACAAGCCCACAAACACGATTGTGAAAGCCTACCCCCTATAAGTTCACAATCGATAATTAGGTTAATGCACGTTTTTTTTATAAAATTTAATAAGAAAAAATAGAAAAAATGCCGAAAACTTACGAACTATAACATTATGAATGATAATCAGAGTACGTATAACACTTTTCTCAAGAATCTGCATTAGAAATATGGAGAACGTGATTCGGTAACCTACCGCCTATATTTTGTCCATTGATAATATGAATTAGGAATTTTTTTTTTTTTTTTTTTAAGAATTTGTAAACAAATATGCGTAAAAATATGTACTAGCAAAACTCACCCTCTAGAAAGTAGACGAAGAATACCATTAAAACAATTACTTAAGAATTTAATACTAAAATTTGGAACGTTATCCTATGTAACTTACGCCCTACGACATCATGGACATTAATACGTACAGTTAAAAACATCGTAAAATTAGATATAACCAAGAAATAAGTTTTTGAAAAGCTTACCAACTATAAGTCAAAGTTAACAATGGCATGAGGGTACTTTCATAAGAATTCGAGAAACAAATTTATAGAAATTCTTGTAAACTTGCCCCCTATAAAGGCAACAATCAATAATATGTATAGTTAAAGTATTTCTCATAAAAATTTACAAAATAATTCGAAAATATATGCTCACCCTCTATAAAATCGATAAATATAGTTAAAATACCGTACGTTTGAACTTAAACCGAAAACATAAATATGTGCTCGTGAAAACTTACTAACTGTATATTTAAGGTAACATAAATAACGTAACGTTACAGCATATTCATAAAAAATTTACAGACAGTTTAGAAAATACACTTCTTTAAAAAACTCACGAACTGTGAGATAAAAAAAAAAAGAGTTAATGTATTTTTCTTCTGAATTTAGAAAAGATGTTTATAAACCGCTCATTTAGAACTTACAATCTGCAATATCAATAATGATATGTGTTAAATTTTTATTTTATAATAATTTGTGAACTAAATTTTAGAATTTTGCTTACTGGCTAAAAATCGCATTCAATAATAAGATTAGGCCCTTTTCTGATAAATTTGCGAAATAAATTTAAAAAATCCCTTATAAAAACTTACAAGCTATAAGTTGACAATAGACAGTATGATTAGGGCATTTTCATAAAAATTAGAGAAGTAATTTAGGAAGCACACTTATGAAAACTTACCATCTGCAATACATATTAAGGATATATAATAGTTTAGATAAACTTTTTGTGCGTAGTTATTTATTAACGAAGTCACGCTTATAAATATAATTATGGAATCTTACAGGCTTTAAGTCGACAATGGATAAAATAAGTAATACAAATTTAGTAAGAACCCACAAAAAAAAAAAAAAAAAATTAGAAAATACGCTTTGGAAAACTCACACTTCAAATTGTCTACAATTAATTGCACATTTAGTTGAACTTTTCGCAAGAATTTGAGGAATAAATTTAGAAAATGAACTCACGCTCTTAAGGTCAAAAGTCGGTAATAAAATTAATAAACTTTTTTTAAAAGAATTTTAAAACGAGTTTTAAAAAACGTGATGATGATAGCTTACTCTCTAAAAAAGGAAACCGATGATATGGTCAATGAATTTCTTGTAATAATTTTGAAACATATTCGTGATTTCTTACTCCCTAAAAGATTAATAATTGATAAATGTGACGAAAATTACTTTAATCATAAATTTAATCGAAAAATCATACCTATTAATTAAAATGTTAGGAACCATGTGATTAAACATATATTACTAAGCACAAAATCTTAAATTCATATAACCTGAAGATTGTTTGATCATGGAAGGAACATAATCCATAGCGATATCTTTATCAGAAGGGAAAATAGCTCCTTTTTATTTGTATTTTAAATATAATAACAGTATAAATTACTTAATAATCTGACCAGAAAAAGTCTGATTTACTTACACAGTACGTATTAATATTAACAAAGATAAGTATCATTTTTATCAATCTGCTTTGGCGTTTAATGTGACACATTCAATCTAAATGCGGGATTGATATTTAACGTAACCCCCAATACGTATAGTTAAAAAGAATTCTACAGTAGTGAGATGAATCAAATTGTAAAATATTGGGAGATATTACACATAATGTTTTCCTTGCTCTATATGATAAAATTGGAATCAATTTGAATATAAATATCACCAGTTTCATATTTTTAAAAAATTTCACACCGTACAATCACCGACGCAGCGATATACTGTATTTGGCTTTTTACGATACGAGGTTCTCATAATACATTATTGTACTGTATTACGTTATATAAAGTTATTCAAAATATTTGTATATAAACTTGGCGGTATGAGAAAAAAAATGGAGTATTTTAAAGAATCATAATATATATACAGTATAGTGGACTACGGTATCATTAAATGATTTTTGGTTTCGTTTTTCCGTCAAGCTAGTGTTATTCCGATCCATGTCTTTTTTTTTTTTCTATATTCAAATAATTGATATTTTCTAAGAATCTTTTTAACGAACATTTGTATGTGTAAAATTTAGACCAGTTTATTGTAGAATGGTACTGTTTGTGTTGAACAAAGATCCCATTTCACGCGAACTTCTCGGCCTGTTATATTGTATTAGTTTTGTTATATGTAAAAAGTATGGTGCAATTTAGATATTAAAGTGAGGTGATTAAGTATATTGGTGCACAATCAGGATTTTTATTTTAAGCCGAGGCCATCTTGATCTTCATCTCACTCAAGAATATGTTAGTTCGTTTCTGACTTGGAGAAACCGGAAGACTTTTTGTGTTTTCGAGCAAATATCTCTGATATTGCCAGTCAGATGCACTCATTTCATTATGATTAACTTAAAAAACGTGATTGTTTATCCAATTTCACATAATGTTAACGAATAATAATGCCAGGATGGATTTGATTTAGTGAACGTGAAAGTCCATCGTCACACTTGTAAAACAAAGCAACATAATGATTGATTTTTTATTAATGGCAGTTTTAATTGCCAAATGGGGAATAGTAAGTATCATGTGATGTTTGGAGAGATAGCACGTCACATGACAGTGTCGCAAATTCCAGATTATCTGAGATTAAATATGGCATATCGAGAATGTGCATCTCGCATAAAAAAATAGGTTGTTAATTTCTACCGATTTTATGAAGCAGAGAGACTACGTAATAAACTACATATTACATAAAAATACAAGTCGTCAGAATATGAAGGCATGAATTTTGGTGATCTAATAAGACGTCCTTTAAAACTTGGAAAGTCATTTCATCATTTAGTCATCGTTTTATGACACTCATATACCCATTGATTCATATTTTAATGTAATTTATTCAAAGAAAAGAAATCTTGATTAATCAATGCCTCTTATTACAGACGCACGAATTTTACCCTGTCAAATTAGTTTACGCATCTTTGTACTGTATACGTATCACCCTTAAATATGTAACACCGTGCTTATGATTATACGTACTGTATGTGGCTGCAAACAAAAACGCATCGCATTAGTACATAACTTTGGACATGCAACTTTATGGAAATTGATAATAGGGAAATAGCGTTTATGGATAGGCGGGGCGTTGAATATGCATAATTATTTATGTGAGTTTATAGAAATTGATAATAGAAATGATATTTATGGCAAAAGGTGTGAAACATACTTAATATTTGTGAAACATTATGGAAATTGTCAATAATAAAAGCGAAATGACATTTGTGGACTGAGGCGTAAAACTTAAATACCTGTTTATGGGAATTTAAAATGGCAATAGAGGCGTAAAAAATATCATGTACCTGCCGTTATACGGATTTGATTTTTAAGAAAAATTACCGACGCCTTCGAAAATAATTACCTTTACACAAAGTAAAAATTTTACACTTTGTGAGAGGTGCATACATGCATCAATTCCCTTTTAAAATCACAGATTAATTGTTTTCGTATTGCACGAAACGTGTCATTAATCAATAGACAGTCGGTGATAAAGTTATCGTTATATAATATCGCAAGAACAGTGGTCAGTGATACTGTAAATGGGATGGTGGAATTAATTTGCCTTCCTGTTAACAAAATATTAATTATTCTGGGCTATATGATTGATATGAACAAAAAAAAAATTGAATTTTAATTTTAATAAAAATTTTAAAATTAAGTAATAAGTTGCTTTAGGTGTGGCTATGTGGCTATAGATCGTCGCGCAGTGAAAAAAATTGGTGATTTCACTTTACATGCCGCTAAATAATCTCGAACTATATGTTATAATTATTAAATTTCATCAGAAAACAATGCAAATGCATCTGTATTTATGCTGTATAACTATGTACGGAGAAAACCCCCACGTCTTTTATTTTTGGCAAAAATCTCAGCTTGTAACGGGTCAAATACATATAAATTCAGGGCACAACACATAAATTGGCATGAGACCTAACTGGTCACACTAAGACAAATTTTTTTTTTTGTTTCTTCGTAGACAAATTTATTACCATGATATATTTAATAATTTTTTCAATTATAATAACGATAGTATCGGCCGCTCCAATTCCGACAGCAATAAATGGTACAGATGGCGTTGATGCTATTATCGGTTTGGTAACGATTGTCATTCCACTCGTCGCATACGTTCAAAAAAAGAGCGAGAATGAAGTTAAAACTGACGAAAAGGAATCCGAAAATAAAATGGAAAAGGATACGAACAATGAACACAACATTAATGTTGACCAAGAGAATGAATCTGATGATAAAAAGGACACGAACAATAAAATCAATAAAAAAGTTCAAAGCTGGGATGAGAGACTTATGTCGACCATTAGAGTTCCTTTGGTTTTATCAAGGACTGGCCTTTTTATTTGGTTCTGTATAAAAAAGCATAATGAGACCAGCGAATTTTTATTTATTCAATATCTTATAGTATGTCTTGTGATATTTTTCATAATGCCGATATGCGCCGGGGGATTTAGTAACCTATTAAACGAATGTTGTGATAACAATGACAACAATAATGAAAGTGGAAATAATAATGACAGCAATAACAATAAGAACTCCAAAGATGCCGGTAGTATGGCAGCGGGAACCACTTACACCGTACTATATATGGTTTCGCTTATATTTTTTTTCATAGGTCGTTCTCGTGGCTTCTATGATGGAAACGATTATTTATTTGTTTTAGTAACTATATTTTCAATATTTATATATACTGTTATAAGATTTCTTGTCGTTCGTTATGATTCAAACAACGAGACGGACGAAAATGTTTATAGAAACATGAGAGATACAATTTTACTCGCACATGATATAATGGCAATGTTAATATTGGTACCTGAAACTAACTGGATAAACGTTTATCTATTTCTGGCAACCTTAGCAGTCACACTATCACTTAACTTTTAAATTTTTGAGAATTTCTTTAGCGTTTAAGGGATAATGTTGGCAGATAGTTAAAAAAAATGGATTACAATAGCAGTTTTGTTATTTATTTTGACCACACTTTAATTTTTTTTTTTTTTTCTCCAATAAATTATTATAAATTGCTAATCTAATATTTTGATTTTATATTGATTTATAATGTCTCGCCAAATTACGATTTAAAAATTCCTTGTCAAATTCACGTGGCAAATAGTGTAAAGAATATTTTTATTTAATCAAAATTCTAGTACGTATCTCGATACGCGCTAAAATACCCTGTTGACTATGTTCCGGGAAATTTTTTTCTCAAAAATAAATGACATTTCAGTTCTAGTGCGGTGAAAATACTTACAGTCGCAGTATAAAGTAACACCTGATTCACACACTGTATATTACTTTGCCAATAAGTACGTATAGTGGCTTCATAAAGAATGACGATCTCTGATCGTGCAAAGTACGTAACTACTGAAAGCTCGTAAAAAGGTGTAGCGTAACCGTTTTACAAAGCACCCACCACACAGTGTAGCCCACAAACTTATCATTCAATACATGGAGGCCCACTCTAGAATAAACGCGACTATTGTTTTATTTTCTATTTATAATGTGTGCAATTTTTAACAGAATATAAAATGAAGGTTGTAAAAAATTATCATATCTATAAATAATAGATCCAAATATTCACCTATTTATTGAATAAAATTTAATAAAAACAGAATTAATGAAAGTTACGCGCTTTCAAATATATACAGTATATATTAATAAAAAAATTTTCGTAAAACAAAGAAATACAATTAAAAATAACACTATTTCCATCAGTTGTTATCGTTAAGAAATTTATCAGTAACCTAAAAGTCAAGATATTCAATTCCAGAATTCACGGGCTGCGGAAGATCATTAAAGTTAAGAAGTCGACTAGTATAAATAGCTGATGGATGATTTTCAAGTGAGATATTATATAAAGAATCCAGTGGTACGTTTTCATTGATTTGATTATAGAGTTCCGAATTTTTGTATTCCTCATAATCACACCATGCCCTTAAAATACCGCGCAGTTCATAAGAACTTAAGCGTTCATGGAAATCAGCATCCAAACATTTTCGCATCAGTTCAACTATTAATTCAGGGGTGTTTCTTGTAATCATAGGTCGTTTACCAAGGCAAATTGCAGACGCAAGTTTGTGATCGTGTGGAATATTGTGAAAAGGAGGAATTCCAGATATAATTTCGGACATAATAATACCGAATGCATAAACATCAGCTGCTTCTGTATACTCTTCACCATTTAAAACTTCCGGTGCTACATATGGGAGTACACCATGCAAATTTCGGTTATCTTGGTTATTTCCATATTCAGCAGCTGGTTTGCAAAGGCCCAAATCGGCTATGTAAAATATTCTTTTGCTAATATCGGATAAAAGAATATTTCCGCTATGAAAATCGCGGTGAACTAATTTATATTTATGCATCTGATATAAACCTTCAGCTATTCGTTTTAAACTGGTTAATTTGTCTTTCCACGACATCTTTCAGAACTCTGCTAAATTCTTTCCAAGGCTATTATTTTCCATTAATTGCATCACCATCATGAAGTTCTTCGTTTCTGCATGTTGTGTAATTCCATAACATCTAGCGACACGAGAGAATCTTTCATAACAGTTAAGGTTATTTTTGATCTACATAATAAACAGATTTAATTCAAATTTAAGATAAACGTGTACATATATTTGTGAATTTAATCACCTCATGTAAGAACTCGCTAGTTATATCTTTAGAATCATTAAGACACTTTAGCGTAACCTTTGTAACACCTTTTCTTTTCCATTGACCAGCCTTTGCAATCCAAAAAAGGATATATCCTTCAGTCCATTCTGCTGAAAAAACTTTTCCATAACCACCTTCACCTATAATATTTTCGTCAACCTTGAAATTCGAAAATGGAATCCACTCGAGAACATTTTCACTACCGTTTGCGTTTAGTTGGATTTCTTTTACAAAATTGTCAATGACTTCACTCCCACTTTTCCAATTATCGAATTCTTCTTCAAAGCGGGATGAATTACATGGCTTACACCAGCAAAAATTTGATGTCTTCTTATTACATTGATTACATTTACCTACCATTAAAATTAATTAATATAAGCAGATAAGTGCTTTTCTTCATAATTTGCAAACCAAATTTAGAAAATATGCTTGTAAAAACTTACCTATAAGATTGACGATCGATAACATAGTTAAAGCACTTTTCGTAAGAATTTCGAAACAATTTGAAAATATGCTTGCATAAACTTACTCCCTA